ACACACACACACACACACACACACACACACACACACACACACACACACAATCAAGAGGCACTTAAGGCAGGGAGCAGTGGCTTACGCCTGTAATCCCAGCACTTTGGGAGGCCAAGGTAGATGGATCATGAGGTCAGGAAATCAAGACCATCCTGGCTAGCATAGTGAAACCCCATCTCTACTAAAAATACAAAAAATTAGCCAAGTGTGGTGGCACACACCTGTAGTCCCGGCTACTCAGGAGGCTGAGGCAGGAGAATTGCTTGAACCCAAGAGGTGGAGGTTGCAGTGAGCCGAGATTGTACCACTACACTCCAGCCTGGGTGACAGACTGAGACACCGTCTAAAAAAAAAGGCACTTAAAGTTTCAGCATATTCTTGTTGTCACTTTTCTGGCCTGTGTTTAGGAGGAGACATCAAATATTTTAAGGCTCTTCTAATACACAGACTCCAAATCATTTATCTTCCAAAGGAGGAATAAGTTTCTTGCCATTTCTCCATATGCTATTTCTAACCCCACTGCCTGCCCACTGTACTCAACAAGCTTTCATATCTGGCCTCAGAATGTCCTCAGTATGCTTTGCCCAAATCAAGTCTATGGCCTCCTAAACATTCATCACTCCTTACTCTCAGCCTTCAACTCCACAATGGATGACTGAGGCTCTGAAGGCAGAGCCTTATAATAATATATTTTTTTAAATGGACCCGATAAGTGTACTTTTCTGCTGTTATATCTCAGATCTTTAAGTATAAGGATCTGGATAAAGCAAACATTTTAAAACAAACAAAGCCCCCTGGTGTGCTTATACTCTCCTCATTTCTCTAGTATTCAAGGTAGCCATCTTCCCTTCTATTTGCTTCATTCACTACATGGGGCTAAAAAGGTGTGAACTCACTGTGACTGACAGAAAGGTTTTGGCAGTCTCTTCACACTTGTTTAGGTAATAGGAACATCTGAATCAACTAACTCAGTTCCACAGTGTAAAGAAGTATTTACTTTTAATAGACTAGACCTGCAGAAAGTCAGTTTATTAGAACCATGCTTGGTAAGTATTATTTACATGGATCTGTACTACTATTATGTGTTTTGTTTTTCTTTTTATCTTTATTTTTCTTTCATAGCAAATGCAGACTGGCCACCATGGGTGGTGGCAGTTGTAGTTGCCATTCTCATTCATATGAAATTTAGTAATAGAAAAAGTAGAATTCAACATTACAAAAACAATTGCAAAAATTAAACACTCAAAGCTCAGAAAGAGTTGAGCCAAGATTTGAAAGTTTCTAAGGAAGAGGAAAAAATACATTGCTGCATCCTCCCACCCTGCATGCCAGCTAGCAGTGGCAGTTCAGTCTCTCCAGATGCCTCTCAGAAAAAGAAATGCCACAAATATAGTAGGAGTTGAGATCCTAGGGGAGCCAATTAGATTTAAGCTGCTTTCAA